TTTTTGTCTTTTTTCCGTGTCCGGCAATGGGTCGCAACCCTCAGTGTTGCCCCCGTACCGGACCGGGGACCGGCAACGGGATCGCAAGCCTCGGTGTTGCTCCCGCGCCTCGCTCAGCCAGTGAGCGGGAGCCGGTCTGTATGTGGGATCCGAACCCTCGGACGGGAGCGCCGCCGCGCTTCCCAAGCGGCAAAAAGTTCATGTTTTTTAATTCCATTTTTCCATGAACTTTTCGAAGTACCCTCCAATTTTCCTGCGTTAAAATGTAGAAACACAAAATTATACAAAGATGTTACCTTTAACTCTTAGTTCTTTTAGCTCGTGAAATTGTTTTGTTAGTTTAACTATATTGTAATACTATAAGAACTAACCCTAATTTAATCTTGTTGCTTAAAATATTATGACTGTCCTTGAAAGATGGTTTTGGAAGGCTTTCTAGGAAATTTCTCACATTTCGATATTCACCCCACTGAGCGTTGCTCTTTGTTTCTGAGAATAAGTATGCTTGACTATTCAAAAACAACAACACATGGAATAGTAATAACCTGTGCAAATGAAAGTATTTGTGTTACGCAGATCTGTTAGCTTCATATAATGGTTACTGCTAACAAAGGAATGAGTTGAAGATTTTTATTTTTTACCTGCAGTGACCTGTAATTAAAATTAATATGTTACCTCTTATTTTTAGCCAAAAAGGCTTCTGGAATGTTGTCCTTCTTCAGAGGGACAGCAGGGAAAAGCCCTGATCTCTCTTCCCAGAAGAGAGAGACTTTACGTGGAGCAGATAGTGCTTACTACCAGGTTGGGCAGACGGGCAAGGAGGGGACGGAGAATCAAGGCATTGAGCCTCAAGGTGTGTTAAAGGAGACCAAATGTGCTTATTCTAGGCTTTTATTTACTTATTTTAGTTGTTTAAGTTTCTTATAGCCTTAAGTAGATAATTCTTATTGCTAAAACTGGGGCATTCCCTCTATTCTCACTCCTTATTGTGGTAGAGTGGAAAAAGCATGGTGCTTGGAGAGTCCAACCGTTTTCACATTTTGTTGCTATCACTTACTGTGTGGTAGAATCAGAAATCCTTAGTTTCCATACCTGTAACAAAGCAAAAGCAATGTCTTTCAAGGCTTATTGAGGACTAAGTGATGTTACACATGTAAAACATCTGTCTCACTGTGTGACTCATAGTATATACTCAAATATTTTTATTTCACTATCCCCTCAGAATCTGTTTTTTTCATCCCCAGTCCCTGTCAGGTTGTGGCTATTTATGTCCACCTTTATTTTGATATTTAAAAAATATGTCTACTTGATTGTATTTGGGTATGGGTTTAGACCAGAAGTTGGCAGACTATGCTGACCTATTTTTGTAATAAAAGTTTTATTGAAACATAGGCATATCCATTTATTGTCTTTTTTTGGGGGAGGGGGTGCGGCTAGATAGTACAGGGATCCAAACCCTTGACCTTGGTGTTGTCAGCACCACACTCTACCAACTGAACAACCATCCAGCCCCATATACATTTATTTACTTATTGACTGGTTGCTTTCACATTACATGGCAAGGTGAGTAGTTGCAACTAAGTGAAATATTTACTACCTTTATAGAAATAGTGTAGTGATCCCTGGGTTAGACTATGAATTAGTAGTTTCAAAGATAGCAACTGCTATAATAAATTTGGTTAATAATTAAGATATCCGTTTAGTATTCTATAAGCTGCTGTTGGGCTGTAGGTATTTATAACGTGGTCCTTGAAAGGCTTCGATGCTTCAAAAAAATGATTTTGACATGTGAAACTTAGGGATAATTTGTTCTTCTAGATATTAAGATGTTTTCCAAATCTATAGCAATTAAAGAGATTGCACCTGGCAGTAGGTTTGCTAGACAAATCAGTCAAATACAAAAAATAGCTCTGAAGTAGACTCTAGTATGTATTATATTATATGTTTATCTTAGTATATGATAAAGAAAGCACAGACTATTGGGGAAGCATTATTCCTCACACATGGAGAAAACTGGTCATAAACTCTGATGAAGAAGCCATGGAAATTACTGGTGTAAGAGCTGAGTTACTAGGTTGCTATCACAGGAATCATTTAAATGTAAGAAAATTGATTCAAACTGAATTCTCTATTTTTTTTAATCTAAAAAATAAAAATTTAGAAGATACATACATTTTAATTGTAATTGTTTACACAGTTTAATTGTATATCTAATGTGTTTGATAGTGACTTGATTAGGATATTTTTACTGTTGATTTTTAAATTTTTGTTGTTATATCAGGGAAAAGAAAAGACAAAATGAACTGATAACCATTTAAAACTTTGCCTTTACTAATGACGTTAAACCTTTTAGATGATGTAGACTGAGGAGATACACAAAAGAAACAACTCACAAATCCTCATGTGGAACTTCGTAAGTATGAAATAATATATTGTCAGCTGGGGACAGGGACTATAATTGAGCAAACTTTATTATCTGAGACTTGTAGCTTCACACTAGGTAAATATCCTGTTTTTTGAAGTGAATATTAAGTCTGTGTCCTGACATGAGTTTTATTTAATCTATAATCTAGTTTATAAAATATATATTATTTAATTTATTTAACTTATAAATTTAATAAAAATTATAATTTAATTTACAAATTTATAAATAATTTTATTTAATTTCTACTATTTAAATATTTACTTATTATGTTATCGAGAGTCACAGAGCCTTGACAAGGCATTTAGATTATGTCTGTGGGTGCCAGAAATTTATTATCCAGAATAATATCATGCACAGTAAACTTTAAGATGTATGTTAAGAATTGCTTAAAAAGTACCATGATAAAAATACAGTAACCAGTGTAAAATTAGAACGAGTCTTATGTTTGATTTTTATTTGAAAATATGTAAGGGTGGTCATATGTTGTTCTCTAATCTCTACTTTAACGCTTTTAAAGTGATCTGTTAAAGATCACTTTAACAGAATTGTGATAAACAGGGATGTAGACTTACCATGAAAAATGCTATCATGGAGAAAGTAAATGGTTGCATTTGGCAGGGGGTGGGGGGAAGGAAAAGATATTTCCTGATACAGAAAAGCCTTTTGTTTTTCACATCCGTTTGTAGAATTTTCAGATGCTAATGCCAAGTTTTATTGTCGGCTATACTATGCGGGAGAGTTTCATAAGATGCGTGAAGTGATTCTGGGTAGCAGTGAGGAAGATTTCATTCGTTCCCTTTCCCACTCCTCACCCTGGCAGGCCCGAGGAGGCAAATCAGGAGCTGCTTTCTATGCAACTGAAGGTAAATGTTCTTAATCTCTTACTGATTAAGTAGTCTCCCTGTTTTTCTCTGAGATAATTTATGAATCACTTGAACTGAGATAGTATGGTACTGTCTATTGGCAAACAAAATTTTCTGGGGTTTTTTTTTTTTTTTTTTTGAGAGGATATAATAAAATATTTAAAAGAATATACATGTATATGTTTGTGATGAGACTCAGGCATGGATCAAGTCCTTACTAAACTCTCTCTAGTTCTGAGTTCTCCAAATGTAAATAACAGAGAACTTCTAGGAAACTTAAAAGGGTACTTCAGAACTGATGAGAGAAAGGTAAAAATAGAAGTATTTTACCTGAAAACAAAAAGGCCAAGTTCTTAACCTGCAAAGGTTAAAGTATACTGTGACCATTTGTACTTCACATCCTATTCTCTATACCTACTGAAAGGAAAAGTATTTGAGAAAATGCAG